GGGGGGGTGAATAGGGGTATACAAATCCGCCGATCCGCCCACATTTGAAGCAAAATCTGCGATCCGACAATGGTCTTGTCTAAATTTGAATCCGCTAAAAGCTCTACTGATGAAGTCACAATCCAGGATACAAACTAAATTGCAAGCTAAATCCACAATCCAAGCCAAAATATTAGATAAATTCACAATCCGCTGTATTAATAAGATCCGAGAATCAGTGTAAAATATTCGCCAGATCCGAACAATTTTTTTTGTGAAATCCGACGATCCGAAAACCTATTCACCCCCCCCCCCTCTTAGTAAACTCAAATTTTCATTATTTTTTGTACACAGAAATCAAATGAATTGTGTGAAAATATATTAATGGTGAATATTTCCCAAAAGTATTTTACTATCCATGATCGGAAAAATCTGACCGTATCTTGAGCTACACATGATACCCCTTGCCCGGCCCCTTCACTAGTTCACTCCCTTGGAGTTGGATCCGCCCCCGAGAACTGACTGAGACTCAATAACTCATTGTTTAAACACTCCATTAAAAGTATATTGATGTGGAAACAAGAAATTTTACTTACGTTAGGTTACTTGCGAAGTTTGGAAGGACAATTCTTTTTAGGTAAGGAGGAATTGCTCGTCGAAGTTTGTAAAATCCCACTGTAAAATCCCTTATAGAACGACGCCATGTTGTCTTTCTCAAGAAGACGCGTAAGGCCAGCGGTTATGCATTCGTATTTACCGGTTATAGATTCATGTCTCGCTATTTAGTGCTTTTCAGACTTTTCAGACCTTTTCATAAAACTTCAAAAACTTTCATTATAGAATATAGTTGTGTTTACTATTTAATTAATTGTGTTTAAACGACTGTGAAATTAGCAAAATATCTTAATATGTACAAATATTTGAACCTTTTTACAACATGACAGAACCGTATAGGCATAGTTCATATAAATGCAGTGTCTAGAACTGAAATGCAGCATTGGACAAATAATTTCAGGTGCGTTTCCGATACTGTATTACAGGTACTATGCAATAAAACTTTTTCAGGTCATACCTTTATAAAAAAAAATGCCTTTGCCTTTGTTACAGTGTTTTATAAGCATTTAATACCCCTCTTTCACGAATTTGCCTTATATTAAACTACACGGGTAAAAATTGATCAGGTTGTTCAAACAGTAGCGAACAATGTTGTGCTGCACCCCGTGAACAATATTGTTAACAAGTTGTTCCGAGTTGTTCAATCATCAATATTGTTGCAAGTTGATAACATGATTGTCAACAAGTTGCAACAACGTTGATGGTTCAACAACATTGTTAACAATATTGTTCACGGGGTGCAGCACAACATTGTTCGCTCCTGTTGTGAACAACTTGCATCAACATGATGATTTTTACGCGTGTAGACGAACATGGAGAGAGTTTCTTCTTCGTGTATTTAAACAGTGTTGGAATTGCTGTTGGTTTTAACTACCACATATTTTTTGTAGCGGGAATAAAACAATCAGGTGTAAAGTGAGCACTACATACAAATGAGCTGTTGAACTTGCGCGGGTTGTCCCTCCTGATATTTCGCAACCAAATGCTTTTAGGCGACCACTTGGGCCGGCACTCTATGATAAGTCATGTCTGAGCCTTTAGTCTCTCTCCAACCGTTTGTACATTACTACATTTGGGAACCATACAGTGCGGCATTTATGCTAATCTCACAGTCGATTAAACACAACTAATTAAACAGTAGACACTACTATAATGAAAGTTTTTGACGTTTCGCGCGAAGGATGAAAAGCACTCAGTGACGTCATTTGTTGTCGTTCTAAAAGCGATTTTACAAACTTCGATGAGCAATTTCTCCTTACCTAAAAAGAATGTCCTTTCAAACTTCGCAAGTAACCTAACGTAAGTACAACCTCAATATATTTTACCTATGGAAAATTCCTACTGTGATCACAGAAACTTTGATAGTGTAAACAAGCCCTAATTAAAGGACTTGTGACTTCACTTCGACTTGCAAAATAAGATTTGTTAACACCTCTGCACCACAATCATCAAAGCGTTTTTTTTCGCCGGTGCCAATGTTGCACAGAATATTAAATACCCGAGGTTCAAGCCAGTGGCGATGATGAGGCAATACAGACAGTGAGGAATATAGCTTCAATCAAAGAACTGTAAAAACAAATAACCTGTGCGACCAATACAAACATAAAATTAGCCGAATTCACATCAGAGGCGGGAATTTCGTCTATGAAAACCGGTATGAAATAAAATTGGGGACGGAAATCTATATATGCCGTCTATATGCCTTATTTCGATAATTCTAGTTCCAGTTTTCCCTTGCTTGGCAACGCTTTATCCATCTCATGTATCCGTCTGAATGCGAATTTCTCGTCTAGACGAAATTCCTGTCTAACCTTTCCTGTCTGTTTGGATGGAAAAGTTAGACGGAAAAGTTGAAACGGGAATCTTGCGGACTCGTATACCCCGCAGTCGCTTATATATCCCTCGTTGAATGAATGATGGTCAACTCGGGCGCATTCCCATGGGCCTTTGCGCCATTTCGTTTTTCGAAAGAAATTCAAGGAAGTTTTCAAGGAAAATTTTAGGGACTGTGGAAGAGTCCTACTAAGGAAGTTTTCCTACATTCCTAAAGTTATTTGTGCAGCCTGAAACGCAACAATTATAATAAGACATCTTTTAATATATATTTAGCTCACTCACTATAACCTGTTGTCCCTCCAAACCATATCCAAACGTCCCTCCAACATCAACTAGACCCCGTCCTCTGCTCGATCGATGAGATTTACCGTTGCGTATATACCCAAGAAAAAGTTTTATTTTAGTAAAGTTTTCATTATTGTTATTATTATTATTGTAGCAAGTACTACATGTACGGAAAATTATTAACATATGTATCAGGTCCTCGTATTATTGTAGTATTTTACCAACAATGCTAAGTCAAACTCCCTTTTAATTAAATACGGTTAGCACTAGTTCTACTCGAGGTGCCTGTTTTTCCCGCCGGAAGTACGAACTCCCGGATTTACAATTATATATTCTGTAAGCGTAACAAAGAATGGAATAACACACAACTAATGTCATACTAATATTGTTATTCTGTGGAGTGTTAATACAAGTAGACACTGGTAAACTACCAGCTGTAAAGAGAGGTTTATCATTGTAGTATGTATGTATGTATATATATATATATATATATATATATATATATATATATATATATATATATATATATATATATATATATATATATATATATATTATTGAAAGTAATAAAGTTTCCATTATTATTAGATTCTTTCTTAGCTCTATATAAAGCCATGTCAGCAACTGCTTTCTTCATCCAATGTTTTAAGTTCATCTCCCGACGCAGAGCATTGATCATTCACTGAATACATTTTCCCAATGGCAGTGCTGCCAGTGGATGGGTCTTCCCGAATTTGATAACTGCTCTTTTGGCTACAAAGTTTTCGCAGGTGCTTTCTTGTTCCAGCGGGCAAAATGCAAAATAATATGAATACCAAAAATCCCTGAAGTGAGTTAAAAATGCAAAACAACCACTGAAATGCTAGTTTAGCATCGTCGATTGCAAGAAAACCAAACAGCCAGGTTAACCCGAGCAGTACCATGATCGCAATCCCTTGCCGAGCTTGCTGCAAGCTTGATACTTTGAGGCTGGAGGTCACTTTTTTACCGGAAGTAAGTAATGACCGAATAACAAGGCAGAAAACCACGATATTTCCAACGAGGATTAAAATAACTGGAGTGACAAATGCCACAAAAAATGGCACGCCATGCAGTCGACAACTGAAAGAAATAGACATTTTAATCAAGTTTCAAGCTTTTTGAAGATGGAAAGGTTTTGTAAACGTATATTTCACACCTAAATGGGAGAAGTTACGAAAACTGCAACTGTGGGCCAAAACAACGCGGCAACTCCGAAACTGATCATTTTTTTATATTCTAGCTTTCGACTGCCGTATACATCGTCATCAGGAATTCATATTATTCCTGAAAATGACTAAAATTAGTAAAATATACTCGAAATGTTATTATGTTCATTTTCGGCCGTTGTTTTGTATTTCGTATACGGTACATCGGTACACGCCCTCCGGGCGGGAATAGAACCCTACGAACAACATCGCTGTCGAACCGCACGCAAGTACCCAAATTACTTTGCCAAATTTTCTTTGTTGACGCATCCATACAGACGAACAAAATTTGCACTTTCCCAATACACCTTTTTGATAATTACGTCATGAATACGTTCAGTGGCCTGGGAGCCTCGTTCTCATGAATCAAGACCCGAATGTGATTGGCTCACGATTCATGAAAATGAAGCTCCCAGGCCAAGAACATATTCATGTAATTATATCGA